AAAAAAAAGACTGTAGCCTGAACAAGTTTATTGCTTTCTTAAATGTGACCTAAGTAACAGTTATCATAACAAACATAAGATATCAGTTATGGATTACTACTGAGGCACAATGTGACAATTTTGGATAGACGCACAATTTACAATCCTGGTTAACCTAAAGTTAAATCTGTCTTTTTTCGTACATACTTTGGCGGCAGACGAGAACTGATGCCACAAACAAATAGTAGATTATACCTTGGAAGCTTTCGATCATCCTCAATTTTGACAAGACATGAAGATCGATGATCTGAAACACAATACTTGCAACCTCGAGCAATCCGGCATGGCAAACCAACATAGTCTGCTAATTTCTGTATAAGAAAGAGTCCCATGTTAATATGGCTATCCTAAGTCCTATTAACTGCCTTGAGCAGAACCCCAACAAAAGTACCAGGGAAAGAATCCACATGACCCACCTGCTTACATGCATTCAATTAAAATCCCCCCATCCCCTCCCCATACGCACACACCCCCCAAAAGAAGAAACCAACAAAAGAAAAGGGAAGAGGAGAAACCAAGTAGTGGCACCAGAACTTCATAGGACAGAGAACACACAATCTTCTGGTAAAGCAAGACAGAAACGAGACGAAGGAAATAAGTCACAAGAAATTATTAATTTCAGCGTGAGGCAAAGCAAAATAGAAATCCAATCAATGAAGAATTAATCATACAAGATGAAACACATTCCTTGTGCCTTCAAGCGTAATTAGAAAAATGTAAAAATGTCATATAATAGGTAAAATTCATAGAATAAGAGAGGTTGAAAGTAATCACTTGCGAGTTCAAGAATTTTCTCCTGTGTTCCTCGAGAACAAGGCCAGGCTAAGGAATCTTAAGTTTTAAAACTTATACAAGGAATGCAAAGTGCTAAACAAATTTTCAGGTTCTCTACGCATGTAAAACAGAAGTCTCAGTAAGACGAACTTGGTTTATGTATCTTCTCGCTTGTTCACACAGTGTTGAGAATACACTGTTAAATCCAAACTGCAATCAGTTACCATCAATCATGTGATTAGAATTAAAGAAGAATAAGGATCATAGAACTTCTAATAAGTGAACCCGAAAAGAATAAACAGAAGCTCAATTTGATATTCAAAAAATTGAAAATGGTATAGTTCATTTGATAAATGCAGCAACCCAGTATACACTTGCACTCATAATGACCTAGGAAGATCACAGATGTATGCTCAAAGAAGTAGGTATGAAATCAGAGAGGAAAATAAATGCAAGGAAATGATTATTTGTCAATAGAAACTAGGATGTAGGTAATCACCTTGAACAAAATAGCACGGTGCCGGCAAAGTCCCATAGACAGGCTACCAATTGGAAGCACGATGCATTTTTGGAAATCTTTTAATCTCTGGCTGACCAATTTCCATCCAACATGAAGGTCACCTTGCTCCTTCGGAAAAGAGCCCCTTAAATTTCACAAACTCAGTGTCTTACGAAATACTATTCAGCAGCCTAAAGAAGCAAGCTAAGAAAATTAATACTTACCCCATGAAGACAGCGACAAGTTTGCCAAGTTTCTCTACCAAAACTAATGTACTTTCAGCAGAAAAATATAGCTCTTGAGCTTTATCCTGAAGCTCCCTGAGTTGTGAATCCCCACCACGGTCAACAAGAACCACCTCCATAGAGGTGTCATTAGGTTCGAGTGTTCTCAACGCCAATAGATGTGGCATTCTTCTACCTTCATACAAGTCATTGCACATCAACCACATATACGGATCCATTCCCAAAATGTTATAGAACCCATCTGATATCTTGTCAGTGTAAGACAAGCAACCACTGACCTGAAAAAATATTAGTTTCCTAGCATAAATTCAGCAATGACTTGAAATATACTTTGATTTGAACTGCATATAGTAAATTGAAGGCAAATTTCTCACATCATATCGCTCACATCCTATTAATTTGATGTACCATTAGCAATGGCAGTAGATTTACAGTTGAAGCAATAGTCTAAATTTTATTTTTTTTGAGATGAAGATAATACCCAGAGTCGGTAGGAGGCAATTTCTGCATCGTCAGATCCACCAACAAGATGCTCAGCACTTCTAGACTCCTGAATTAGCATAGGCTCAGCAACAAGTGTAGCCTGCTCAGTAAGCCTTCTAGCAAGAGTGAGCTGCAAGTAATAACTCTCTTTAATCCTTTGTGCCAATCCATTACCAACGTTTTCAACTCCTCTTACCTCCGCTTCGTTTGTTGTAATTGGATCCTTAAGTGTCCCAGTAGTAATACTCGACCAATTACCATCCAAAGTGGTTCCCGAAAACAAACTACCCGCATAGCTCGTGCTCCCACCACTAGAAAATCTTTGCAGTGACAGCTGCCTCTCAAATCCCCTCTCCTTCCCTTGATGATCAGCACCAATGCTATAATTGCTCCCATTACTAGACAACTGCGGCAGCGACACCTTCCGTTCCAATTCCAAGCGTCTGTCTTTACCCACCTGGCATTCACAGTCAACCACCGCATTGGGGACCACCACAGGAGACGGTGGTGATGCTAGAAATGGCTCACGCTCTTCCTCTTCGATGATGTCCCCATCATCTGATCTGATCTTCACAGGATTCAGTCTTGCGAATGATTTGCCTTTCCTTTTCTTCTCAGTCAGCCAGTTAACAAAGCCGGCCAACTGCTTTTTGTGAATCCTGTCGCCCGTGAATCCGTGAGAAATGTCACTACTACTGTTATCTTTACAATTATGTTTAGACTCTGAATCTCTATTGATTTCTTTTCCTGTGAGGTTGAAACCGACCTCTCCACGACCACAAGCCTCAAACTTTCCTTCACTTTTCTTCTCGTGATCCAAGACAAACTTTGAGGAGTCAAAGTTGCGGTCTGGAAATTGCCTCGGGAAAATGTAAGTAGTTCGATGCGGCATTTTAACTCGAGCCTCCCGTGAACTTTTACAGCTACCAAAAAAAAAATGAAAACTTTTCAGAAATCTCAACCTGTACGCTTCCCTTCTCGCTATCGAATTATCACTTTTTTGACTCTCCCTCTCTCTCTACATCTGTTAACCTTCAACAACTTACAGTTTCCGCGAAAATCACAGCAGGAAGACCAAATTGAACGTAAAATTGCTGCAAATCTTAGCAATACAAAACGAAATTAAACAATGATCAAAAATTAATATTTCACCTTCTACTGATGGAACAGAATTATATCATGTAATTCGCACTTAATATCTCAACACCACAGCACCTCCAAAATTCAAATCTGATGAAAAACTAAACCATTCAGCATGATAAAGCGATTACTGAAATCCAGAATCAATTTTTGCCAATTAAAACTCAATAAGTAAAAAAGAATACTCAATTGGAGATTTGAGCGAGAAGAACAATAAACAAATGCATGTTGTGAATAAATAGATAAGGAATCTACCAGAAGGACTACGAAGATAATACAATAATATTTATATGGAGCAAAGCTGAAGTAGTCAGGGAGGAGAGGAAGAGCGTAAAGAGGTTTTGGCGAGTATTTTAAGCGCTAGTGGGAGGGGAACACGAACCGGTGGGAAATTTGAGAAGAATTTTTTATATATATATGTTATGTGCTGAATCTACTAACGTGCGCTGGGACTATATTGCACACCGCTCTTCGCTATTGTCCACGTCAGTTCTAACCAAGCCCCAGCTTGACACGTAGTGAGTGCGCACGTTAGCCCGGAGCCTGATATGATTGACAAAATTCCCAATTTGCCTCTATTAAATTAATTTTTATTTTTCTCCTCTATTTTCAATCACAAAATTTTTCATATAACAAAATTACGCGTAAATTGAATTTTTTTTCTTTTTTTATCCATCGGTTCTCCAAAAAGTACTATTCTATCTGATGATCCAAGATCTTGTCGATCTCGAACTCGACCCTATAACCCCGATCTCAACGCCTCCTAAAAACACCAAGACAAGGTCGGGCATTTGA